AAATACTTGCTGAGTTCTCCCTTTCTTTGTTGGTCAATTTCTTTAGTGCTGATGCAGGGTTGTTTGCACAGTGGTGCTTTCTTTCATTCACTGGTTAAAAATTCACTGTCTTTGACGGTATTCTATTCCTCCTTCAACAAGGAATTTGCAGAGAGAGGTGAGTGAAAGATAGCTGTTATTGCAGACTTTCTGGTACCTGCATGTGTGTGACAGAGAGAGACCACAGAGAAAGATATTTTTATGCTTTTTCTTTCCAGGTTAGGTGATTCTCTTCCGCACTGGCCCCACAAAAGCCATGGTCACCTAGTCAGAAGCCAAGCAGAATACTGTTAGCAGTTTTCTTTTGTTCAGAACTCACTGGCTCTGTGGTCTCAGCTTTTTGCTCTTACTGTTATGCTGTTCCAGAACAAAAGTAACATTGTACACAAGTCACAATTTGCCCAGGGAAATGATTTTTAACACTGCACTCATATCTTTGTACAGTCTCCTTATGCAGTATCCTACTTCCTTTAGTCCATAGTCCAAAGATAAAGGCAAAAAAAACATGGTTTTATAGCCAGACTTGGACCTAAAATTTGCAGATGATACAAAATGTGGTGCACAGTCAACTATGAAGCACTTAATGACAAACTTAAAGAGGGCACAGACAGGTTCATCGATTGGTGGACAAATAGCAGATGAAATTTAATCCAGATAAATGTGAAATGATTAACTTTGATAGAAAGAGAGGCAATTCTAAAGGGGGCGCAGGAACAGAGGCTTCTGGGCGTATATGTGCACCATTTGCTTAAGGTTGCAAGACAGGTTGAGAAAGTGATTAATAAAGCATATAGAATCCTGGGCTTCATTAATAGGGAAAACAGTATGAATGCAAGAAGTATATGATGCACTTTCATAAAACTCTGATTTGGCCTCTGCAGTATTGTATTCAATTTTGGGCACCATATCTTGGGGCGGCACGGTGGCTCAGTGGTTAGCACTGCTGCCTCACAGCACCAGGGACCCGGGTTTGGTTCCACCCTCGGGTGACTGTCTGTGTGGAGTTTGCACATTCTCCCCGTGTCTGCGTGGGTTTCCTCCGGGTGCTCCGGTTTCCTCTCACAGTCCAAAGATGTGCAGGTTAGGTGGACTGGCCATGCTAAATGTGTTCAGGGATGTTTAGGTTAGGTGGATTAGACATGGGAAATGCAGGGGTAGGATAATGGGTCTGGGTAGGATGCTCTTTGGAGGGGCGGTGTGGACTTGTTGGGCCAAATAGCCTGTTTCCACACGTAGGGATTCTATGATCTTAAGAAGAAAGTGAAATTATTAGACGCAGAAAAGATCCATGAGAATGAATTTTGCCAACTTTGGAACCAATTATATGTTAGAGTAGAAAGGCTGTAACCAGTGGAGAGTTGCAGGGACAAGTCCTAGGGGCTCAACTATTTTTAATATACAAAGGGACAGTGTGCATGGTAGCTACATTTGCTGATGACACAAAGAAAGCTAGGAAAGCAAGTTGTTAGGTGGCAGGAGTCATACCTGACACATAGGAAGATGGTTGTGGTTGTTGATGTTGGAGTCAATCATCTCAGCTCCAGGACATCTCTGCAGGAGTTCCTCAGGGTAGTGTCCTAGGACCAACCATCTTCAGCTGCTTCATCAATGACCTTCCCAACAACATAAGGTCAGAAGTGGGGATGTTTGCTGCTGATTGCATAATGTTCAGCACCATCAGACTCCTCAGATACCGAAGCAGTCCATGTTCAAAAGAACAAGATCTGGACAATATCCAGGCTTGGGCTGACACGTGGCAAGTGACATTCGTGCCACACAAGTGCCAGGCTATGCCCATCACCAATAAGAAACAAGCTAACCACCGTCCCTTAACATTCAATGGTGTTACCATCACTGAATCCCCCACTATCAACATCCCTGGTGTTATCATTGACCAGAAACTCAACTGGACTCACCACATAAACACAGTGGCTACAAAAGCAGGCCAGAAGCTGGGAATACTGTGGCGAGTAACTCACCTTCCGACTCCTCAAAGCCTGTCCAACATCTACAAGGCACAGGTCAGGAGTGTGATGGAATACTCCCCACTTGCCTGGATGGGTGCAGCCCCAACAACACTCAAGAAGCTTGACACCAGCCAGGACAAAGCAGCCCACTTGATTGGCACCACATCCACAAGTATCCATTCCCTCCATCACCGACGCTCAGTAGCAGCAGTGTGTACCATCTTCAAGATGCACTGCAGAAATTCACCAAAGATCCTCAGACAGCACCTTCCAAACCCATGACCACTTCCATCTAGAAGGACAAGGGCAAGAGACATATGGGAACACCACCACCTCCAAGTTCCCCTCCAAGTCACCCACCATCCTAACTTGGAAATATATCGCTGTTCCTTCACTGTCGCTGGGTCAAAATCCTGGAATTCCCTCCCTCATATCATTGTGGGTCAACCTACAGCAGGAGGGCTGCAGCGGTTTAAGAAGGCAGCTCACCATCACCCTCTCAAGGGCAGCTAGGGATGGACAAGAAATGCTGGGCCCAGCCAGTGATACCCATGTCCCACAAATAAATAGACAAAAAAGATTCCTCCGTATCTCTCTTCGACGCTATCATCATCTTAGAGTGAGATACTGAATCAGTGATACACCTGAGGGCCGAATTCTCCTACTAACCGATCTCTCTCTCTCTCTCTATGAATCCTGAAGCATCCACGCCCGATAAGATTCAGTCTGAATTTTTGACATTAGCAGGACAGTGTGCCTTCCTGACAGTTTACTGGCATTCATGACCAAGCTCAAACATTTCTGCAATACTTTTGGGAGAAAAGATATGCATTTTATTTGCAGAAAGGGTCACTGGGGCTTTGAAACACCCAATTCTACCCGGGCATTTAGCCTAATTTGGCATTGCCGATGCAGCAACATATTTGCCATTCTTTTGGAACCAATGACTCAGATTAGCATGAAAGACCAGTTCACCGGGGAATTTATTTACTTTGTTATTTAAGTAATGCCACAAGGCACCCATTTTACCCTATATAGGTTTCAATGCAGAACAGAAATAATGTTACCAATTACGACATTGAATAAGAGTGACACACGCTCAGATTAGAGAAATTTTCTAATCAACCTTTTCAGAAATGTTCTTACATTCCTCTTGAAAAGGTGGGACTTGAACCCTGGCCTCCTGGCTCAGAGGTAAGTTCACAACCACTGCACAATGAGGACAGAACCGCACAGCACATGAACAGGTCTTTCGTCCACCAAGTCTGTGCTGACTATGATAACATTCAAAACTAATTCCATCTGCCTACACTTGGTCTGTATCCCTCTATTCCCTGCCTGTTCATGTGTCTGTCTAAATGCCTCTTAAACGTTGCGAAGAGAAAAAGGTGTCATGTTTTAATTTTATCTTGAGTTTTGAGCAGTCCTGTGAAGTCTTTAGAATAGAAATTACTTCTCCTCACCTTCAGGGGACCCCAGTGAGAGTCAGCATTTCAGGAGAGGAGGAGACCCGTATCTGAGTAAGAGTTAACACCTTTGGGAGAGGATCATCATTATGGCTGATACACAGAAACACAGTCTTGTCAGTCCATGTCACTGCCAAGATGCTCAGAGGTTGTTTTCCCTTGTGGGAGAATCTGGGACCAGACAACATCATCTCACAGTAAGGGGTGGCCCATTTAAGACAGAGATGAGGAGAAATTTCTTCTCTCAGAGAACAGTGAATCTGAAATTCTTTACCATAGAGGATTGTCAAGGCTGTGTCGTTAAGAATATTAGAGGCCGACAGATTTTTAATCAGTAAAGGAATGAGTGGTTATGGGGAAAGTGGAGTTGAGAAGCATCAGGTCATCCATGATCTCATGAATGGTGGAGCAGATTCAATGGGCTGAATGGCCAGCTACTGCTCCTGCATCTTATGGTCTTACAGCCTCTGACATGGGCCTACATGGGTTTACATAGTGAATCCAAATGAGTTTCTGGCCAATGGTAACCACCAGAATGTTGATAGTGGGGGAGTTCAGTGATGGTAACACGTTTGAATATAAAGGGAAAATGGTTAGATTCTTTCTTATTGGAGCAAATGTGATTTGCCACTTGATGATGCAGCTGAAGATGGTTAGGTCTAGGATAGTACCCTGAGGAATTCCTGCAGAGATGTCCTAGAGCTGATAATCACTGGCTTACAATACCCACAATCGTCTTTCTATGTCATATATGACTTTCAGATAACTTCATGACCTCAGTCTCCTCGTTTCCATTATCTCCTCCAGCTCTACACCATCTGAGATTTCTATATCCTCCACTATTGATGGCTGTATCTACAGCTTCATAGGCACCAAGCGCCTAACCACTCTTCCCAAAATGCTCCAACACTTTAGCTCTTGGTATCAGGAGAGTGTCCAGAGACACACTCTGCTTTGTATTTCCATATGTGGACATTCGGACAACAACATGCAATCCACAGAAATTCAGGTCCAACTGTACAGAACCCAGGAAGAGGAACCCACAGACTGATGGCAGGCAGAATTCCACATGTTTAATGACCATCAACTGCATTAAACAGAAATAAAAACAAAAACAAAAGTTGCTGGAGAAACTCAACAGGTCTGGTAGCATCTGTGGACAGAAAGCAGAGTCAACATTTAAGTGTCACTTGGATTTCTCTCCACAGATGCTGATAAACATGCTGAGTTTCTCCAGCAATTTTTGGTTTTTTTAATTTCAGATTTCCAGCACTCCCAGTTTTGTTTTATATAAATAAAAACAAAATGGAACTAAAGAGATGAAGCGTAAACCCAACTGTGCCTGTAGTCGATAACTGTGACGCTGATGTTAATGCAAGTGGTTGTTATCCTTAAGCAGCTGAAGGCACTGGCTATTTTAAAGCTGAGTGGTTTAGGTGGTGGAAACATTGCTATCTTTCCTGGCTACATCTTGAGGACAAAGGCAAGAGTGGGAGAAATGTTTAAAGCAGCTCACAGAAGCACTCACCTCTGTTCCAGTGCTGCTGGAAGGTGCTTTGTGGCTCAAACGAGTCTCCTCCTGTGAGGTATCAAGGGACTGTCTGGCACGTCGCCCAGTCTTCACAATCTGGAAGGGGGAGGATTGCAAAAAGAGGGGTGAAAAAGAGAAACAGTTCACAACTCAACAGGTTAGAACAGACAGAGTGTCTATTAGCCTGTGGTGAGTTCATACACATTTTCAAAACGTTCCCCTGCTGCCTCAGCATTTCTCTGTCACTGCTTCAGTCAAATGCGCCTCCTCCCCTCAACCACATCAGTCATATCAGCAATTCTCAGATTTTTGCTGAGAATCAGTAACTCAGAAGACTCTCAGCTCTCAATTCTGAATGTCCTAGCTTTGAATCCCATGCCACAAACCTGAGCATAGAGTCCAGGTTAACCCTCACAGAGCAGCATTGAGGGATTAGCACACTGGCAGAGGTGCTGTCATTTAGATTAGATGTAAAGCAAAGGGCTCATCAGGAGGAAATGAATGATGTCATGTGTCCTACTGGAAAATGAGTAGAGGCGGTCTTCCTGGAGTGCTAGGACCTACATTTATCCCTAAACCAACATCACTAAAACTGACCATCTGCTTTCTTTTTATTCATTCATGGGATTGAGTACGTGACTGGCCAGGCAGCATTTACTGCTCATCCCTAATTGCCCAGAGGGCATTTGAGAGTCAACCACATGGCTAGGGTCCGGAGTCACATGTACAGCAGACTGGGTAAGGATGGCAGTTTCGTTCCCTAAAGGACATGAGAGAACCAGATGGGTTTTCCCAACAATCGGCAATGGTTTCATGATCATCTGCAGACTCTTAATCCCAGAGTTTTTTTTATTGAATTCAAAGTCCATCATTTGCCGAGGCAGGATTTGAGCCTGGGTCCCCAGAACGTTACCCTGGGAATCTGGATTAATATTCTATAAAATAATACCACTTGACCATCACCTCCCCTATCTTCTCCATCTCACTGTAGTTTATAAATTTTCTTGTGCAAGGGTTTTCTAGCCAACAGTAATTCATTGGCTCTGAAGAACTGAGATCTCCCTCTTTCTCTCTATCCTACTCTCTATCTCCCTTCCCCTGTCTCTCACTATCCAACCTTCCATAAGCCCAACCTCTGCCTTTCTCTAACCCCACACCTCTATATCCCGCCCTTCTCTATACCCCCTCCCTCCCTCTCCATCACCCCTGTCCCCCTCTCTCAAACTCAATCTTGCTCTCTCTCTATCCCCTCTCTCTCATATACGCTCTCTAGGCCCCTCTCTTTCCCTCTATCCCCTCCTCTCTACATTCCTCCCAATCTCTCTATATCTCCTTCACTCTCTATACCACTCCCACTTTCTATTACCTCCTCTCTCCCAGTAGCCTCACTCTCTCTATGCCTCTCAGTCACACTCTTCCTATCCCTCTCACTCACCATATACTTCTCTCTCTCTTTCTCACACTCTGTTTTGGGTTAGTAAATTTGCGGATGACACCAAAGTCGGTGGAGTTGTGG